ACCGAATATCGTCGAAAGTGAGATATCACTGTAAAAAAGACAAATGCAGTTTCCTTTTGCGTAAACAAACATAATTTTCTAATCGCAAGTTCAAACTATCACATTTTAAGAAAAGATTCAGACAATTGTAACAGGTCTAGGGAAGACACTTAAGATTGATTAGAAGAATAGAATCTAAGAAGATAAAAGGAGACAGGAATATTTAATTTGGAGCAAAGCCTTGAGGGAGGAAATAATAGTATTCTTTAAATACAGATGGATCTTATTTACCAAAGATAATTGGACCAGGGTCTCTCTTGCATGATGTCATGGGACCACACTGACTTTCAGTGGCAATTCTGGCAGCCCAGTCAATAATGTCCAACAAGTCAGTGGGGAAGTGGCAGAAGGTTGCAATGGTGATCATGTGACTGGGAATGCTGTGGTTATGTGGGATTTACCTACAATGCAGCATTCCCGGTCAAGTGATCGCCATTTGCAACCTGCCAGCTTCCCCACTGACTTTGCTTGTCGGAGGCTGGCAGTGAAGGTTATGAATGGCAATACTGTGAAGATGAGATGTTGCAAGGCTGCAATTTCGAGCCAGAGTGCCCAAATCATGATCATGTGACCATTACAGGGATGCTGTAACATCTGCAGCTAGGAAGACCTGCCCAAAGTACCTCTCATTCAGCGCTGTTGTAACTTTGCATGATTGCTGAGCGAGTTGACATTAAGCAAGGACTATCTGTATCTGCAATGATGTCACAAAGGAGACTAACATCTGATCTGTTTCATTCCAGAGTGCAGGATACAGAGAAATTATTTAAGATACAGAAAAGCAGATTCTGATTGAATGTAACATAATTTCAACAGTGAAACAAGTTGCCCAGAGAGACAGTGGCATAGAAGAGCAGCTCTCCCTTTCTCTCTCTCTCTTTACATCTATCTATCTATCTATCTATCTATCTATCTATCTATCTATCTATCATCTATCCACCCACCCATCCATCCATTCATCCATCTCTACCTCTATTTCTATTTCTATCTCTATCTCACATAAGAAGTTGCTCTTGCCTCATTCTGTGAGGTTAAGTTGATTTGGTGAACGAATATGAATCTGTATCTTCAGCATTTAACATTTAGCATACTGTGGTTGAAAACTGTTTGCACTTCATATGTATTCTGAATATTTACATATATTTAATGAGCATTAAGTATTAAGCATTAAGGGGACGTGGTGGCTCAGTGGTTAAGACGCTGAGCTTGTCAATCGAAAGGTTGGCAGTTCAGTGGTTAGAATCTCTAGTGCCATGTAACCGGGTGAGCTCCTGTTACTTGTCCCAGCTTCTGCCAACCTAGCAGGTTGCTTTTCTTATTTGTTAGATTTTTACCCTCCTTCCCTTTAAGAGTTCAAGATACTGTAGATTTCATGTCCGACCATAACTTGGCAAAAGTTCTATAAAATAGATTGGACTGAAAGAAAAAAACAGTTCCAAGTTATACAGCAAATATTATTAATGGGCATTTAAACCTAGATCTCCTGTTCCCAAGTTCTAAAGTTTACTGCATATAGTAATTTACATCAAAACAATCAAGTCTAGGTCATCTGAATGGGTAGCATTATCTTATGAACGTTAATAGACAATATAATACAATATATTATTCATTGTATTTTTATATTTCTGACCTCAACAATTAACTGTCAGCAGTTTACATCATAAAAGCATAAAACATGACTTTTTAAAAAAACACTAAATTAAGAGAGAGACAAATCTACCATAATACAATAGGTACAATGTCTGTGGAGATTCTCAGTCTTCCAGGTTCTTCTTCCTCAAGGAAAAAAAACCTCAAGTCTGGTTGCCTTTTGAAAAAGCACTTTTGAGAGAATGGTGAAGATTCAGTTCCTAAGACTTTCTGGAACAGGTTTGCTTTTAGTAACTTTTGATATACAAACACTGAAGGTGCTAGTCTAATTTCCATAAGATGGAAACTACAATTGATCAGCACTGCTTGGGACCCCCTGTCCCATCATCTCATATATTTGGGGAAAGCATTAAAAGAGGCTAGTGACATATAATCATTTTTATATACATGAATGCATGTATATTATATTATGAAAATGAGTGTAACAATTGCAGAAAGATGTCCCTTGGAATAAATGTACATATATTCTAAACAGATGCCTCCTTTGTGTTAACAAATATTTTCCTAAATAATGTTTGCCAATGGAAGTGCTGAATAATTCAAAGTAGCAGTTTTCATAGATGTTTACAGATGGATTAACCCAAATGTAAAAAAATCTAGAAGTTTTTTTTCCCATCATAATATCTCCTTTAAGATATTTTGCTTTGAAAAATATATTTCATGGCAATATTGCTTCTATTTAAAGCAAAGAGTTTGAGCTTGGCTTTGATCTAAAGCTTTTGATCTTGAAAGAAGGTTATTGTGGTAGTAAAAATAGGGGCAGGCCAATGTCTTTTTTAAAAACCAAAAGCAATAAAGCTAAAGTGATGGTCAAGATTTAGTGAGCTCACTCGACACACATTTATGTTTTGACATCTGTTCGTAAATGGCATCTAATTTCATGTAGGAGAAAATCTGCTCTGATCTAAATCTAAAAACTTAGAAACTTTCTTTCCCAGAATGTATAGATACATCAGTCAAATTTTTGTGAGAGCATGAGTTTATGCATATACTTATGTCAGAACATATAATTATGCTAAATATAATTATTCTGGAGGATTGATTGATTCCTTGCTTCCTCTTTGTTGTACATTTACAGAAACAAGCTACATCAGTAATCTAGTAGCACTTTTTCTGAATAATGCTGAAAGTTCACAAACATACGTCCTTTTATATAACTTAGTAGTCCGAAAAGGTGCTACCATATTTGTCCCAAAGGCGCTTTTTCCCAAACACAACTGGACTTTCTTGGTTTTTTTCTGAAGAAGCTTCAGATATTTCCATCTGTAAATATCTACAAAAACTGCTATTTTCATCCAAGAAGCTTCTTCAGTTTTGTGATTTAGTGTGTGCTACCAGATTTGTGTGGGGTTTTTTTTTTTTTTTTGGACTCCATAGATTAACATGGCTCCTCTCCCACAAAAGTGTTAATTGTTTTAACGTGTTCTCAAAGTCATTTTAATCTCCTAGTGCCTGTACATTTTCATACCAGTAGGCAAATTTTAGGAATGATACTACAATAAATTCGGTGGGATTTACTCTCAAGTAAACAATCGGGAGTGGGGGTATAGAGTAGTGCCTTTAAAGCAAAGCTTAGGCTTTGCCAAGCTGCAGCTTAATGGAGGAATCAACTGTGGAATGGCCATGACTAATAGAAATGGCAAGAGTCCAGTAGCAAAAAGCAAAACTTAATGCTTGCTTTTAAGATGCACTTCAGAGTCTCCACGGAATTCATCTGATATGGTTTTGGATTCCACAGAGGTCAAGGAACTATTGGGAAAAGAAAGTTTTACATTCTTCCTTTCATTTTAATATGCTCAGCTAGAATACTTGCTTAAAAGAATGCTCCGGTTTGGAATAAAAGGGAGGGCAGGCAGATGCTGGAGAAAGGACATTTCTGGTGTAAAAATTGAATTTTGCCCCTATTCGCGCTTCTACCTCGTTTTACTTTTTTGCCCTTTTTTAGATCCGCGCATGATTTGATTCAACGGCAACTTGAAGAGCAAAAAAAAAAAAAAAAAAGTCTATACTCTACTATTTTACTATGCAGCATTATTTTAGTGTCAGTTCAGCCCGTACGCTTGCATTGACAATATTGACTATAGCGCTGTATTAAATCCAGAGTTTTAGGGCACAAATCCGGGATCCTTTTTGGGGGGGGGGGGGGGGGGCTGAATGCCGCCCTTCCAGTTCCACCTAACTCTTAAGGAATGCCCCTGTGACCGTGGAAAGGGGACCCTCGCTCCCTTGTTAGTAAGACCCCCCCCTCCCCATCAAGCACGTAGTGTAAAAACCATCCCAATTTTCATTGCCTGAATTCAAGTCCGGAGAAACCTAGTCTCCGAATTAAAAGCTAGGCAAAAGTGAAGGGAAATCGCCGCCCTGCATTAAAAGCCGCGGGCGAGCCGGGATCAGCGATCTGAGGGATTTCCCCCAACTCGGCCTAGGCGAAGGTTGATTCCACCCGTTGCCACTCGATCCCCTGCCACCCAGCTGCCTTGCGTGCAAGCGAGAGAACTGACAGCCCTGGACGCCGCCGTTCCCGCGGAAACGTCAGCCGTGGGGTGGGTGGGTAGGTGAGGATTTCATTTTATTTTTTAGTTTTTGGAGTGGGGTGGGGGGGAGGCGGCGGTTGCCTGTTGCTCGGAGCGCTCGACTTCAAACGGCGCCTTTTACGCAAGGCAAGTTGAACGGGGCGTAAGCAGGAGACAGGCAGACGCTCCACGATTGAAAGGGTGACGTTCGCCGCCCTGAGCCGCCTCCTCCGAGGTTACCTTTCGGGGATGGAGGGGGGGGGGGGAACAAGCCCAACGGGGAAAAAGCTCCCCCGGAGGCCGCGCTCTCCGCCCCCCGCCGCCTGGTGCGGGGTGGGGGGGGGGGGGGGGGGGGAAACCGTCTCTTGCGACCGGACTCTTCGCGGCGGCCGCAGCTGCTGTCGGGGCCGCCCTATCCAGGGTAAACACAAACAGCCCGACCCTCGTGCGCCGCGGGAGCGATCGCAGCCGGCGGGCGTTGTAAGGCAGAGGCGCCGGGCAGGCTTTTTTTTGTGTGTGTGTCCGTATGTGTGTGTGTGTGTGTGTATCGAGGCGCTGCCGAAGAAGAGCGACTCCCTCGCCCAGCGTCCGAGCTCGGGCTGCGCGGTGGGGAAAGTTTTGTTCTGGTCGCAGCCGATCTTGGAGATTTCGGAGGCGCTGGATCTTGGGGGGATCTCGGAAGCCGGGTGGGGTGGGGTGGGGGGAGCTACGATCTCTTTCTCTCTCTGTGTCTCTCTGGAGTTGCGGTCCAGATCGCCTCGAATAAACTTGCGCTTTTATTTTGTCTTCCCCATCTAGCCTTTGCTGGAAGAGAGCCGCGTTTGGCAAGAAGGTCGACTAGCGCAGCAAGTGAAAGAAGAGGTAAAAGAGGCGCTTTCCTTTGGGAGCCGGTAGTTTTAGATCGTGGATGATGATGATGATGATGATGATGATTGGTTAATCTTTAGTGAGATTCACAGCCTTTGAGGCTGGTTAATAGCTCAGCAGCTCGAGTCCTAACCAAGGACCTAGGAACTGTTAAGGTATCGTCGGAGGATGTAAGCTGTTCCGAGTAAGGTGGTTTTTTGTAGAGTCAAAATGTTCAAGTCCGGTAAATTTAGAATTTCTAAATAGCGGGGTAGCCCTTTGGGTATTGCTCCTATTATTATTATTATTATTATTATTATTATTATTATTATTATTATTATTATTATTATTATTATTATCTCCCCGATTCGGGCTTGCACCTCTGTGCGCCCCCTTCCCCTCCGCTTTCTGATCCTGAGATATTTGCTATATCCGCGAGAAATGACATGGAGAAGCTGCCCCTTCGTCTTACTTTGACCGCGACCCGTTGATCCCACCCTATTTAGAGGGGCGAGGAAGGAACCGCCGAGATTTATTCTTTTTAAAATGCTCCTCTTCTTGAAGATGTCACTATTTGAAGAAATCGCATCTTTTTCCCCCTTCACCATCATCGTTTTTCGCCCTTGTGCAGTTCTGTAACAATTCCACAAATGTTTTGGTACAGCGGAGATTTCTTTATCCTATAAGAGATGTTCTGCTGGGCTACTCTAGATTATAACAGCAGACAGAAGTTACTGCATTTGGTGAGGGTGGTGGAGGGAATAGAGAGAAAAAGCTTTTCCGACCAAGAAGAAATAGCTAAAAGGATTAAACCGAGAACATGATACTGAGGACTGGAACAGTATTTCTCTTCCCCATTTCTCTATCCTGGGTTTTTTTTTCCTAGTTTTTTTTTTTTTTCCTTCCAGTGAAGCAATGGAAAATTGTATCTTGAGTCTGTTTATAGTTTCTTACTCATGCTGAGTAGTTGCACTCAAGTTGCGTCTTCTTAAAAAAGCTGTATGGTTTTGACATATAGGTCGTAAAATGGATTCATATAAATCAGAGGTTCAGAAAAGGCACTCGGCGGAAAAGGCAACGACCAGAAGAAGTCACTTTCCAAAAGGTACCGGCTCCTAATGATCTAATAAGTCATAATGTGTTATGTCATTTGTGTTTTTATTGTGCATTATGCTTTTTAAAAAGTTTTAAAAAGGATATGGAAATGTATGGATTACGTGCCATCGAGTAACTCATGTAGTACTTATTCCTGGAAGCGTTCTTATGCGAAGGATCATTTGTGAACAGAGCTGCAAAATATAGGTTAGGTGTTCTATTTATAGTGAAGGAGAGTTTAGAAATGAGTTTATGGAAAATAAAATGTGTTTTTGTTTCCTCCTCGTGCAACCTCTAAACCCTTCTGATTCAAATAACTAACCTGCTTAGTATCTTAGAAATAAGCAGTGTAACAAATTTCAAGTTGATGTGTGATTTTCAGGTTAAAAGAATTTCCCAGCTAGGATTAATCAGTATTAATGATGTGTAAGGCTCCTAAGATTTCCTTCTTTTAAAAAAAATGGATATTGGGTTTAAATAATGTTTGATGGACTACTTGGTAAAGTTGAATGTACATAAGGGGTTGTTCTGGCAGATTCTTATAATTTTTTTTGTTTGCTTAAATAACATTTCCTGCTCTCAAGAATAATATTGCTGGACATATGTTGTCTTTTATGCCTGTCTTTCTATGAAATATAGGAATCCCAATATATAGCTAAATAAATGGAAAGGTTTTGGCAAGTTGTTTTTTTAGTGATTTTCTGCATGTTTATTGAGACCTACTCAGCAAGTGTGACTTATATTCCTTGATAATGATACTGAGGGCCAAATCCATTTAAATAAAGTTCTATCCTTGAACTCTTTTCAACAAAGTTAAATTTTAGTGATTTCTGTGAAACTTCCTTCCAAGTAATTTTACATCTTTGCTTTGTGTTGTGAATTGTGCTGTTGTTCAAAGCTCATTGGTAAGTAACTATGTTGAGCTGTTTGTAGAATTGTTAACACCAGAATTGCTTCTTTATTAAGTTGAACTACTGAAAAGCTATATATCTTTCTTCAGTAAGATTTAAAGGCAGTATGTTATTTTGTAGCTTGACAGTGCAGCGAGAAAGTCTGATGAATCATCACTGTTTCTGTAGCCAAGTTCTTGCTGTTAATATGAGTGCCAACTCCAGGGTTATGTTGCCTTATTATGGACATTGCTCTGTTTGACAGATATCTCTGGATAGTACAGCTGAATGTGGCATGGGGAGAGATGGACAATTGAAGAATAAGCTTATGAAGTCATAATATTCTGAATCGCCATCAGTTGTCTACTGTTGTAACACAGACTGTCATAATGTAATCTATTCAGCTGAAATTTTTACTGGGTGTGCATAGTATTTAAGATGCTACTTCACTTTTTGTTCAGATTTGCTTAAGAGTCTTGATCAAAAATTAGTGTTTCAACAAAATCAAATGTAAAATAACTAATAGTTTCATCAAGTAGATGAACAGTGTTACTTGTTTATTCTTGCATAGAAATAACCATCTGTTGTTTTAACATGAATATGTTCATAAGAGCTATGGATCTCGCAGTGCTGATATCTGAAAAAAGAAGGCTATCAGAGTAATATCTCATGTGATTTATTGACCAGAAAGCAATTAGAATTTGAATGTTTTAAATAGGTAAGGTTTAAAATCTGGAACAATCTGTTTTGTAGAATGATTAAAGATTGATCCCTGAAATTTTTCCAGTATTGATGGCCAGAAGTGTGAATTTTATTTATTTATTTTCTGTTTGTGACCTGAAATGGGATGACCATATTAACCTTTGTTTAAAATGTATAAATAATAATAATAATAATAATAATAATAATAATAATAATAATATATTAAAGAACAACGCAAGAATATTGTTATAATGGGACATTAAGATGGTTTTAAAAGCCTGCATTAAATCAAATCAAAACAAAACAAAACGTTGATTTAAAAAATCTTTAGATAATAACAAAATACTAGTAAATAGGAGATAACTTAATATTCTGACATAAGAATTCCCAGAGAAGGTTCTCTTCTGATTGACAGGTGTTACTTCATAAATGTTTCAGAAAATTATCATAAAAAATTATTGTAGAAAAAGAGAAACATTTGCCTTTATTAGTAGGCTAATAAAGAAGATTTAAAAATACAATGAGGACCTTCAAAAGTTATGCCATCACAACACCATTAAAATTACTGAACGTAATTTATCTCTGTTTCTGTCTTATGCTTTATAGCTTTAGTGTTGTTTTTCGTGACTTTTAAAAGGAAGATTTTCAACATGAAGTGTTACCTATGTTTTGAAAAATTATTTCCATAGAGCAAAAGCTTAGAAAAACTTTTCCAAGAACCTATGAGGGTATGTTTCAGTAGGTGATAATTTTATAGCTATCCCATATTAGAAGTTGTAGGACAGAAACATCGAAGATATCAAATAATTAGGACAAATCCTGGAAAAGTATAAGATATCTTCTGTGAATACCAGTGAGTGCAATTCTAACTTGCTGAAGCTAAGGGGCTTTGCTTGTACAGCTATTTAAATGGTCATTTCCATCTTAACCTGTCTTTTTGTTATTTTTCAGTTTATTTTGTTATCTCTTCTGTTTGTTGTCACGTCGCTTGCTGTGCTCAATTATCTAGTTTAGGACCTACTGTACTTCCTATTGCCATGTATATGATAGTCTTTTTTTCACTTTATTTCTTTCCCTGATTTGACTTTTCTTTTCCAATTATTTTTCAAGCTCTTAATACTTGACTGCTTTTTTTTTTCTCCCTTCCCCTTTCTTGACTTCTATCACTTCCATATTTTTTTTCCTTTTTTATTCCTACTGATTCCTCTTTGTACAGATTGGTTGAATACACAGTCTAGTGTTTGGACCTTTTAATTAGCTTTGCTTTTCTATTATAAGGAGGAGCATTCTAAAATAAACCATGAGCAAAATTGTTGTAAAGTCAAACCGAGGAGCAAAACCTGAAATCTTTGAAGAAAGAGATAATAAATCTAATTTAAATCTACACTTTTTTTTTTATGATAACCCGAATTATAAAACGTGTTATGATAAAACAGAAAGGTAAGGTTAAGAACTACTTAACAGATTTACTGTATATTATTCTTTGCTTTATGATGAGACCAGCCATAATGCTAATGAGTTCCTAAAATAAATTTGGAGATTATTGAAGGATAGCCTGTAACTGCAAAATACTAAATTGATGTATTGGGGATATAGCAGTAGGAAATTTAATTGCAAACATCTGTTGGGTATCTGATTTGGAAAGCTGGCGTATTCAAATGCTATATTAATTTAGGACCAAGACAAAACAATTGTAATTAAAATATTTGGTTTTCAAATATGTACAGCGATTTCTGTATTATTTGAAAGTAGTAGTAGGTAATAATTGATTAAACATTGGCATTTAATGTAAAAGCATATTATTATTAAAAAAGGTAAGAAAATAATTGCTCAGTTTTAATAAGGGAACACCATAACAGATAGCTGGAATATATGTAGGTACAGATATATCATTTACTGTTATCGTCTTAGACTTTGTATTTTCAGAATGCGTTTCACAATCTAAAGAAATACTCAATTCTAAACTTTTTTGTTTTTAAATGCCTCTTTCATATCAGGGGGAACGAAGGAAGAATTAAGACATAGGCTTTTGGTTATTGCATTTTCATTGACAGTATAATTATTATTTTCACATTTGCATCTATAAATTAGTATGTACATTTCCTGGTTGTATTAACATCCATTGTAACAGTTTAGCTTGGTACCGTGCATATTTATTTTGCATTGTTTTAATGTTTTTTATGTTTTATGATATACATGACCCAGAATAACTTGAGATGAGCAGCTATAGAAATCAAATCAATTAAATAAAAGTTCAAATATGAGCTCTTTTTTATTTTTATTTTTGCGTATTTGTTTCTCGACCCAGAATAACTTGAGGTGAAGAAATAGAAATCAAATCAATTAAATAAAAGTTCAAATATTAGCTCTTTTTTATTTTTATTTTTGCTTGTTTCTCTTTTTTGTGATCTTTAAATGGCCACTTTATGTCTTAAGGGGAATTGCTTATAGTTGGCATCAAATGAATATATTTTCAACATATGTTGTTTCTTTGAGCATTGTAAATCTTTTGTTTGGTTTTTGTTATTTTGCGGCCTTTTTTTAGGCAGACCAATAGTTGCTTTGCATTTGTTGTATTTTAGGGTTATATGGTAATTTCCAGATATTATTTGATTTTGTATAACACTGATATATTCAAGAAAGAGAAAGTATTCACTTACCTTCATATTTTTGAAGCCAGAAATTTAAAACATGGTTATTTGTTGTTTCATATTATAGTTTAATTGATGAAAGGTTGTCTTTAGTCGCTTTGCTTTTGTTGAAATTAATTGCATGTCAATAATTTGAAAATTATTCTATTCAGGGATGCGAATGAAGAAAAAGTTGACCATAATATTTGGAAATGAGACCGGCTTTTTTCCTCAATTTGAATTTGCTGTTATCTTTTATCTTTTCAGAATAGTTCTGCTTACAACCACTCAATTTGTGTCATTTTTTAAAAAGAAGGCCGCCTCATTTATATGTTGTACAGAGAGGTGTCATCAGTAAAATAATTTTGGGGGAGTCTAAAGACCTTCGGGAATATTACTGAAACACAATCTAGGACCTTTTTCTCCATTTCTTCTCCAATCTGATATGACCCTTTTAAAATAAAAAGCACACAACTAGCACGGCCATGTGTTGGGAGTAACTTGAAGTATACGTAGAACTAAATGACTTGATTAACGTGGTTCATTGCCAGCAGCCATTTCCCTGCTGCTCAGTGAAAGATTAAGTCCACCTTAATGTGAAACACAAGTTTTACTGAAGAAAGACAGACAGCAGAAGTGTCGGGTCTTTTATTTGAAGGGAAAATTAGCCACACTGCTGCAGCAGAGCTTTTTAGTTGCTTGCGCCTCTCCTTCAAAGCATTTTAATGAATTACAGTTAACACGAAACCATGTCAAACTAGGAGCCACCCAGAGTCCCTTGGTTGAGT